GACTTTTCAGACAATGAGGACCGTATTTCTATGAGCTAGTTATTATTGGCTCTCGCCGGTTTACTACTTCCATGGTAGTTTACTGTAGTTGGTGGTGTATTATAATTATTATTATTGTTGCTGACATTATTTCATTAGAAATCGACACTATAACATATTCACACGTATCACAATTGAAGTCTAAAAGAAGTAAATAAATATGTCCATATATTCCTCTCTCCTCTTCTTATATGAAAATACCATGTTATCCAAACATGTAGGTAATGTAATAAACAAATAATTTGGAAAGACGAAAAATATTCAACTTGAAGGACATAATAGGAAGGACATAACCTTTATTGAAAAGAACCCCTTTCCTTACTAAAATCCTGTCCATATTTAGAATAGAATATTATTATGGATAATAATACCTACACGAGGCGCCCAATACCTTTTAATACTACTCCAGTTGTTAACTTATTGAATCCCCGATCAGGCACCCGGCTGCGTGCAATATTTATCGTAAATATGCACCACAGCGAAGCGTAACACCAGGATGGAATTTAATTTAGTAAAGTTATCTATCGGCGAAGAAAGAATAACTAGCGTGGATATGAACTTTGATCCGTATCTGCCAATTTTAATTTATTAGAACCTGCGTGAACGTGTTATTAAAAGCCTTGCTATCAACAAAATTAAAGTTGTAGGACTTAATGGGCGTCATAGGGTATTCATATTGGTTTATTTACATGGAGTGATCGTGCTTTTAGTGATTGTAATATTTATTCTGATCCACCAATTCTAAATAGAGGACGGTAAAGGTGTTACAAGTGACAGTGGATAAAAATATAATCTTTTATTGCAATGGCAAACGGTCACAAAACCACCCACACACACCTGTCCCAGCTAGCTCAATTAAACTCAGGTGCTAAATTTTTATACGAAATAATTATAATTTTTCTAGGGCACGTCCAGCCTCCGCGACGACGAAAATCTCGATATTAACGTAAATTTTATTAATTTGAGAAACTGGGCAGCCTTGATCACTCCCACAATTCCAAAGAATTATTTAACAAAATCATAATCCTTGGTACGAATAGAAAAATGTATGCTGAGAACGCTCATATTCTGGATCGCACTTTGGATTCAATTAATCACAAAGCTGATCATTTACAAATAAATTATTCGACATAAACCGATCTATAAAGCTGTAAGAAAGAAAGGCACTCAGGGTCTACTAACAATGTGCCCACGCACATGCGATGGATTCAAACAAATGAGTTAAATAAAGTTTTTTTCCAATACCGACACGTTTTTATTGAATTTAATCCCTAATTTTTGTGTATTACCATGTCATTTTAATCCCCAGGGATTAAAAAAAATGTAATTCCTCATTTTTGTTTTCTTGTAAAACATTCATAAATTATTCATTTTCTTTATTTTTAGAACAGGTAATATTAAAAGCACAATTTATGAAGGTCCTTAAAGTACAGGGTGTAAATCGAAAAGTGGAACATAGGCGTTTAACATGGGAAATTACTTTTTCTTTGCGCAAACGTTTCCTAACCAGTTTACGCAAAAATACGTCAAATAAAAGTTATAGAGATATAAATTCTGCATCTAAATCATGTGAAATTATGGACGCTTGACGATCTCGCGGATCGTTCGGTATGCAGTTGCATCGGTTTTTATCGGAATTTGTAATTTTAGTGTCTATTTGTAACTTTGTTTTTAATTACTAACCCGATTTGTTGTTGAAATTATATCATTCGTGTAATTTTGTTTATTTAACTTATAAGATGTAAAAATTGCATTATTTAGAATTTATAAATATTTGGTCGAGTGCATTTACCTAAGTGTTATCTGGTCCATTTGCGATAAGGCCCCAATTTAATTAATGCACGTGTGTCTTATCGCGCTTAGAGGAGATAACGAAGATGCAACTGTATGTTTATTTTGAGCATTAATTTCGGCGTAAGAGGGGACACCTCAAACGCTCCTCATTGGCGTTACGTTTGAAATTGGTAGAGATGAGATTATGATGATTTAGAAGTGGTATTTGGATGAATAAGGAAAATAAAGAAGGGGGCTGGCTGTTGAGCCTAATATAAGGCAGCAGTAACGCGGTACGCTGTTCAAGTCACGACGGGTTAAAGAGCGTGTACCTCTTGTACGCTAATTTTATGAAGTAATTTATTTATTTATTTATTTATTTATTTATTTAATGATTTAATGCCCAACAGTTTAACCTGTCTGTTTGAAAACGCAGTTTCGTCGTATTCAGAATAATCTGTGTACATACAATTAAAGAAAACTCTTGTAAGAAGTTAATGTGTTCAGTCTGTCAATGGAAGCAGTTACATCGGTTTGATAAAGCAATTTGTAGTGCATACTGAGGCCTTATTAAAAGGTAAAACACACATTTTAGTATGTAAACTATTTAAAGTTAACTGACCATTTTGCGGTACTATTCATGGACAGTCAAACGTCGCACTCTTGATTTAAAAAACCATATTTCAAAAATGCAACCATTATACTCTAATAAGTGTAAGATACAAAGGCAGACTGACCGTTCACCCCAACGATTCTGTGCACCAGCTTATGGACAATAATGATGAACCCAAAAGACGGCTTCAATAATAATAATAATAACGGCTTTATTTAGGCGGGGTGTCAGCCAAAGGCTGCTATTAATCCCAACCTTGATACAGAAAAAAGTACAAAAACATGATGGAGTACTTAAAACAATTTACGATAATTTATATGGTATGATAGTCCAGGTGAGAACAAGTAAGCATACAAGTAAAGCAAAAAAAAAAATATGATTCAGTGATAAAGAAGTACTTTAAGGTGTTTTTTGAAACCGTTTGGACTTAATAATTTATGAAAGTTCGGAACGTTATTGTAAATGAGTGGTGCAAAATAAGTAAATGCGCCATGAAACTGGGTTTTATGGTGCTTTGGTATGTCAAGAAAGAATGGGTTACGGAGATTACGATCGTGAATACTACTTCAAAATTTTAACTTATTATACAAATATAAAGGTTCATCAGATACTAATATTTTGTGAACCAGACATGCAAGATGTAAATGACGTCTTTCGCCCATGTTCAAAATTTTATGTGCTTGATAAATATAGGAAATATGTTCATATTTCTTAATGTTAAACGCATACCTGACGCAAGAGTTTTGGATTTTTTGCAGGCGAGTCTTATTTGCACTAGTTAGACACGGACCATAGACAGTGTCACAATAATCTAAAGTTGACAGTATTAAAGAATCTACAAGCTGCCACTTGACCTTTGGTACAAGAACGTATTTGAAACGATATATACATTTAAGCTTTGCGTAAGCAATTTGAATCAGTTTATTGACGTGGAGGGAAAAGTTTAAGTGACAATCCACTGCTACTCCTAAACTACGAGATTCCCTAACTAATTGAAGCGGGGAATCTTTCAGATATAATTTTTGGTCCACATCTTCCCACAATGCAGTAACAGATTTTGGTGTTCCCAATAGCATCAGAGAAGATTTGGAAGGATTTATCTTTAGGGAATGTTTCTCAGACCATCTCTCGAACCGATTTAACTGCTCATTAAAGTTTCTCAGAGAGTAATTTAGATTGTTTCGATGGACAGGATAGATTAAGTATGTATCGACCGCGTAACTGTGGATGTAGGAACCGTTTAAAGACGTATCCATATCGAAAACATATAAACAGAAAAGAAGCGGTCCGAGGATAGATCCTTGAGGAACCCCCATGTTAACAGGTAAACAGTTAGAGTCACTGTAGCTTCCATCCCTCAAAGTTCTTACCATCTGCATTCGATTTTGTAAGTCGCTTTTAAACCAATTAGTCGCGGTAGAAGACAGTCCAAGATAATGCAACTTGGCTACCAAAAGTTCATGGTTAATACAGTCAAATGCTTTGGAAAAATCGATTGAGAGCATGCGAGAGCGATCGGTTGCTGCTAGGACTTCGTCCACTATATCAATTAGAGTGGTCGCAGTAGAGTGATGGCTGCGGAAACCAAATTGATGTAACGGTAATATGTGCTTTGCACGTATATAAGCGGACAATTGTACATATATAATCTTCTTAGTTACTTTTGATAACACAGTTAGGATACTAATGGGTCTTAAATGAGACAGGTTTTCAGGAGGATACTTTTTACAGATAGGGTGAACAATTGCAAGTTTCCCTAGGGAGGGGAAAGTGACAATTTTTAAAGACGTGTTAATTATGTCAGTAATAGCTCTACAACAGAAAGGCAGACAAATCCGAAGCATAGTTAACGAAATTGAATCAACACCCATTGCATTACATTTCAAACTATAGACAGTGTTATTCACATCCGTATCTGTGACAGTAGAAAAAAGTTTGAGTAGTAGAGTTGTGAACGTTGTTTAAGTAAAAGTCAAGAGTGTCCGTATCAGTGACTGCAGGTGGGGTTGAAATGAAGTGTTGGTTGATTAGATTTGGGTCAGACAGTTCAACAGGTATATCATCTGAGCATCGTTTTGAATGAACGTCTAACTCTTTTAAGACGCTCCAAAGTTTTTGGGAGTCGTTAGTATTTTTAAATTGGAATTTTACGTATGCTAGAAGACTTAAACGTTTCAAACCATCTGACTTACATACAAGATTTTAACATAAACTGTAAATTGCTTTTGTCAAATACTATACCTATATTCTTTTCATAGCATACATTACATATTAAAAATGTAAGGGGAGACTTCGCTGGAATTCTGCCCCACATGCCATTTTGTAATCATTAATCCAATTATTGTCAAATAAGGCGTTAAGCGTTTATCGCCAAAGCTATGCTGAAAAAACTGTATATTTTGACGCCCTTTCAGCGGGCGACCTGGTACACCTTGGTGTACATTCTGCGCTACTCTGGAGTGTCAGATCCCATATAATCAAAAACGTAGAAACGTATAGATAAATACTACAGGTCACATAAAAAAACTAAATAAATACTTAAAAGATTAAAGAATGGCAAAGCAAAAATACTTACCACCAATATTTGCGAGGAAAATATCTTGCAATGCCATCAATTCTTCTTCCGGGGCCATGTTTGAACTACCAAAGCAATCATTTTCTGGCCACACTTCTCTAAAACAAAAGGTGGATATGCACTATAACCAACTAATGGAATTTTTCTTTTTATTTATTCTACTATGCAAATCAATCAATAAATAATTTTGGATAAAAGCTTTAAGGTTTTCGTGTAACATTGGAAGAGTAAAAGATGGGGAGAACTGGGATAACCACCGCCAATTGGAATATATACTACATAAATGGTAATGTCAAAATTACTAGTTTACCACATATACCAACTTCTTTAGCCCCTCCATGCATTTTGCTTCATGAACCAAAACGTCTTATGAGATTGCCAGTACCATGTGACCAACTGATTCCACATTTAGCATAGAATCTCATAACTATAAGATGGAAATAGGAGTTGTGGTCCCCGAAAACCTTTTTTTGCTCACAATGTAAAACATCAATAAGAGATATAGTGACAATTACAGTCGGTAATCAACCTTAATTTGTTATACTCATTTGATTTGAATTTAAAGAGGTAATCATCTCGCTACAAGTCAAACTTTTAAATGTATCTAACTAAAATAAATACTTCCGGCCATAACAACCGGCCAGTAAGGATAATTCTATCAATTAACAGAAACACAATACACAACACACACACACACACAAAATTGTTAGCGTTTTTTTAGTAACTTACCTCGATGCTCTTAACAATCCCAAAGCATTTTCAAACTCGGCATCCTTTAAATGCTGATGAATTTTTTTCATCGCGTCAGTCCTGAAAATAAAATTATGTAAGGAAACCATTCAATTGTTTAATTGTGTTAAATACAAGTACGTCCCTAACATTAAAATATCAAAAAGAGCATTCTCCATTTATCCTCATTTATCAGAAGAAATTTGATGTAAAAATTTTGTAAATTCAAAAAGAAACAAAGTAAAGTACATTTGAGTAAAAAAGTATCATATGAGCAAGTAAATAATTAATTACTCAACCATAGCTTCTCTGAAACTGGGTCTCTTTATATGCATTGCAATTTTCGTACGACAATTCAGGAAGAGCCTTTGCATCACACATTTACTCACTTTTGTTCACTTATAGGTGTATCTGATGCTGCATCAAACGGAACAATGCCATCAGGAATGGCTGCTGAATTTTCACTCAGCAAAGCAGATAATTGTGGAGCTGCTTCATTCCATAATTCTTCCAAATTAGGTTCTACTTCAGAAACAGGTTCTTCAGCAACTGAAATAAAAAATATTTTCAGCAATTCAGCTCATACAGTGCACTTTAAGATTGCAGCGCCAACTTAGTACATTAAGCGACAAATGTTTAAAGCATGCGCAACTAGTTTAATGGCAAGACGCTTGGCGGAGTGCCTTTAAATGTTGCGCAAGTGCTTTAAAGACCAATTATACACATTTTTCTTATAGTATTTTTTACTATCCTGCAATACATCTTAAAAAGAAGGGAAATAAAATAAAATCAGATTGACGTTATACTCTAATTAACTCTAATCTAATTAAGTGGGCGGTTTATTCGTAATTCCACGATTGCCATGGAGTCTCGCTTGACATTTGGTTATAAAAATCACAGTCGTAAATAAAATGGCTTCAGTTGAAAATGATAATAGACCATCCATTCAATGGTTTGTTGCAAAATCAGAAGGAAAATTGGTAGGTGCAAAATCTAAATCCAGTACAGTCTATTATAAAGAATACAAAAAATTGAATAGAAAGCATCTTATGAACAAGGTTGTAATACATATATGAAAGAAATGTCTTCTGTCCTTAGTGCATTCATTCAAAACTTCAAACAATGCTGTGGTTAAGAAGTGGAACAGATTTGACAACATGTCCCCAATTACACGCTTTTGTGAAAGCTTCAAACAATGGATAGGTACAAGCCAAATAAATCTTTTTCGTTTACAGAGCGCCTACAATGATTTTTTATTTCAGCCCCAGATGACAGTTTCATAAGTCATATTTGAAGTAGCATTACTTTGTAATCATTAAAGCACGTGTGTCCGATTTGGCACAAATAATTGAGTATTTAAGCCTGAGATTGCGATTCAGGTATAATAAAAAAAAACACTGAAACGTCTCTGGTGAGATAAATATTCCACACAGTGATTTCTAACTGCAGATTTTTATTGGAACACTGTATACAAAATACAAATAATGCCTTTTTTTAATTTAACATACAAACCTCTCTTTTTCTTCGTCCTTCTCTTCTTTTTCTTTTGAACTACCAATTCGTTCTTGCCACAGTATGCTTGTAACATCTTCAAGAAGATATGCTGAGTTTCCATCAGATCATTTAAATACAATCGTGAAAATAAAATTTCATCAAATGTGAGCAAGAGAGTTATAATTAGCTCTCGATATTCAACAACATAAAATATGGTGGTTTTAATCGCTTTTGCGCTCTTTCGCACTGCTTCGTCAGGCGACCTATCCATAGCATATAAAGTTAAAAGCAGTTCTCGGTATGCCAAAAGCGCGATGTGTAAACGCTTGGACCAAGACCTGCATTCTTTTTTGTTTACGCATATGTAATCGTAGTAAGTTTCCATTTGCTGTTGAACGAAATGAAACGCTTTCACAGATACAGTTTCACTGCAATTATATATGCACATTACTAAGTCAATACAAAGAGCAAACTCACCTCACTAACTTTACTTGAAAATTGTTACCTCGATTAAATTCCATAAAAAATCTCATGGCCCACAAATAATACGATTCGTCATGCGCTTGCGCTTTTGACCTTTCGAAGTTAAACTTAACATAATACATGAAGGTATTGTAAGCCCCATTTATAAATTCCGTGCAAAACTCTTTTAAGATTAATTTGACGCCAAATGCAGACCTTCGTTCTGTCGGTGCCTCTTGTACGGGTAAACGATTTTTAGGAGTTCTGGTCTTTTTCTTTTCAACATCGAAATGTACGGAGTCCAGATTATTTAATGGTTTGTGATACACGTAATTTTTCTCGCTGATGGATTGGAGGGATTTGATAACGTACGTGCCTCCAAAACGAGAATGCCTGAAATTAAAAAAATTTATTAATGCACTCGATTTTTGTTTACTTGTCTTTATTTTTTGTGATATTTGGGAACTTTGGAAAATATGTAATTAACTTCGTAATTAACTAATGGATAGGTTAGCAGATACTTTTGAATACTCTCCTACAACACACCGTTTTTGAGATATTTGCTCTTAAGGTTTTGCCATCACCAATGGATATATTTCCTCCAGACGTCCCCATCGCCCTTTGTGAGTACATTCCGCTATTGAGAGGTGAGGGACTTTTGGTGCCCCTAACCAGGAGCGAGTTATCTATCTCGGGGGCGAGATTCTGCTAATCAAAGCTCTTCAGTTTAGAATGTATATGTTATATGAGTTGCGATTCAACAATTCCCACATATTTTTTGCAATATTAAATTTGCCCTACAAGGGCATGTAATATCCATCTTGCTCTTAATAGAAACATTTATTGCATCAAAGATCAGTCACATTCTCTGTATTTCACCCTTTCTCAAAGGGTTCCAATTTTCGGTTCCGAAACCGCCGCCCTTGACCAGAAGTAAGGATTAATGCTCCTAGTGGCGCTCGAGATTTCCGTACCGTTCCGCCGACCACCACATCCAGGTTCTTTAAATTTTGAATTTTTTTTAAATTAAATATGTTGAAAGTTGCATTGATCTATAAAATATAAACCTCTTTTTTACTATTGGGCATATTTTAGACAAATTTACTCATCTAGTTTTCTTATAAAAAAATAATTCTCCTCGTTTTCTGATCTATAATGTAAAAAATTCTCCCTAACTAGCATGTGTCCTACTGCACAGTACAGCTAGAGGAACTGGACTGGACTCAATGGCAAAAAAAATCAGAAATTTAACTGCACATATGTTTACTAAATGCAAGAAAAACATGGCTAAAAATTATATGTTACTATGTGCTTTTCTACATTACTTAATTCTAAATCCTTGCTTCCATGGGCTCGATTGCTGATAAAGAACCTTGAATCTTATAAGGGCTTCACATTCTAACACAGTTTCAGATTGATATTCATCTGAATACGAGCTTTTGTAGTTTAAATATTTGACCCTGTAAAGTTATTAAGCATTTTTGATTTAGGAAATTGTCATCTAAAAAAATTTTAGGAAGAGTGTATACATTTTCAGGATGTGAGAAACATAATTTAGAAAATTAAATAAAATACCTGGCACCCGCAAACTTCCTAATCTTCTCTTGCTTCTTGTTATTTTCATGATGCCTCATAAGAAGAAGTTCTGCCTCCTCTCTCATTTTCTCGCTTTGACTCCTTTGTAACTCTGTAGTGGCCAATGAGGTAGCCGATTGTTCCCTCAACATAAATGAAAGAATTTCTACAATATGCATGTAGTAGGCTTGTTCCGATGTAGAACTGGCAATAAATAAAATGATGTCCAGCATTCCTGACTGGTGCAAAGACCAAAGCACCTTAAACAACCTTATTACACCTACTAGAATATAAGGAATCGCTATTACTTGATCATGAACACTAGCATCACTATCTGGCCTTTGTTCCTCATCTGGGTTTGCAGTATATAAGATATTTCGAACTAGTATCAAGATTCTTTCTATGATTAAGTTGTTTTCTTCGCCCCGTATTGCAAAGTCCTAAAATTAAATTGCTTTAGAAATGTATTACACAGACAATACCTACAATTTCTAATATTTTACTAAGTCGTGTACTCAAAATTGCCCAAATTTTTTCATCAGCAAAGGCCTGTTTGTATTTCTTCTGATGTTCGTCGATCTTTAAATAGTAATATCTCGCAGTTTTTTCAGTGGGAACAACTTCGTGCCATAACATTAAAGCCGGACTCGTGAGATTTACCAATAATCTAAAAGCAATCGTGAGCTCACAAAAGGCTAAAGCAAGTGCAAACCTTAACAAAACATCAAATAAATTTGTCTGCTCCCAATATCCTTTCAGTAAAGGGAGCAAATCTGTTTGAAGAACCTGACTGTCGCCGAGAGATCTTCGTATCTCGTATGTTTCATCGTCTCTTCTCAAATACCGAATTAAGTCCTTTACAGTTTCTAGAGTATTTGTATCTGCATAGTATTTTTGTGATTTAGAGTCGTAATATCCTAAAGCATTGCATGTTGCAGATAATTCAGCGGATAATAAATGAGACATCACGAGCTTCGAATGCAGCTCTTACACAAAAACCAAAAATCACACTGCAACTCAATTACATGTTTTTACACCAACGAAAACACTGGCTTCGAATTGCTTTTGTAAATTACAGCTGACCTGTGTTTACAGGCTAATAAATTTTAGGTTAGGTTGCAGATCTTGCCGCCAAAAAGATAGTGGCCGCATTCGGACAATGACAACGGTGTGCATTCAGAGAAGTCTGCTGTTCAGATGTACAGGTACAGATCTCGTGGTGCTTCCCGGAGTCTCATGAAACACTTAAGCTGACCTTTATAAACGGGCAAAACACTTTCCAGTAACCTTGGATAAATTTATCTAGCCGTTTTGGAACCTTCTAAATGCTTTGCTGTTTTCAGGTCGCTTCCAGAGGTCCATATCCCAATACAGGTTGGCACTTATTCCGAATACTTAAATCCTTTTCAAATACATATTTAACGGAAATTTTTTAATTGATATTGCAAATACGAAGTAAAACCATTTTCTTTTACCTAAGTAGGTACCTACGTTAAATAAATATTAAATTAATAAAATTAATAAATAAATTAATTAAATTAATTAATTAATTGCCCATACCACTAACCTCTACCACCTCCTCAAACGCATTTTTGTTAGTGAAGTAGCATGTTATCTATCAACAATTTCATCTGTAAATACCTAATTCTTTATTAATTGGCTGCTCAATTTTATCTTTGATTTTGTTACTCGATTATGGCATTGATGAAGCTTCAGTGTTCTCTATGGTCTTTCCCTTGCTGTGAAAAAGTCCTGAAAAGCTTTGGAAACCATTCACGTCACCCTTGAAAGCTGATGGAAAGTCTTTTATATCTTCTTGTGCTTCTAGAAGATTTTTTTAAATTTTAGCACTTACGAAAGTCTGTAAACCACTAGAAATCAATTTCTGTTCTCTTCTGTTCTATAGGCGCTTTTCAAGACAATGGTGGTCTGATTGATCATTGTTCCAGAAAATGTTTCAGTACCATCCTCTGAGTGTTGGATGGCCTTTCGAAAATCGTGATCACTCCCCCCCCCCCCCCCCCGTAGACTTTAAAGAAAATGTACCATGAACTTACTGTAGTCTTCTTGATTGGATCGCATAATACGAGTTTAACAGTACAGTTGAATTCCGTAGTTCTAATTTAATAAGCATATACCTGAAACCATACAACAGTTTTTTGCACAGTGAAAGTTTATTTAAAAATAGTGGCCGATTATAGAAAAAAAGTAGGTAATGAAAATATGTTGTATGGGGCGTTTATTCAAAACGAAATGATTGTGGCGGGCTCAGTGACAAAATAGGCCCGACCAATCAGCTGCTTGAACCATTCTGATGACATCACGACTTGTCAATATTGCAGGAGAATTTCACAAGCGCGCATGAATTTTGTAGTTCTTTGTATATCATACACCCCCTATAATTCGCAGGGTGGGATCCTAGACACAGTGCGCACGTGGCGGCAATGTCTCTAGTTTTTTGGCAAGATTTGGAATCATGCGAACTTGGAATTTTTATTGTAAATTATGGCCCATTTGAATGTAGGGCAAACAATTTATGTATTTTTTAGGTAATTGCAACCATATTGTAAAGTGCAATTGAATCGTTTAAATTCAACATTTAGTCAAAATGAAGAACACACACTGAAAAAAGCATGTATTCTTAAATCAACTATTTAAAAAAAACTGTAGTTTAATGTAGCCAACGCTGCTTAGAAACTGTAAATACGCACGTATTTAAAAACAAGTATAAATTGTGCACAACTCTTGTGCAGATAAAGCGCATTTTTTAAAACCGAAATAGCTTTTGTTTAGTCATCACCAATGGATATATTTATTGCAGACGTCTCAATCGCCCTTTGTGAGTACCCTCTTCCGACAATCCGTTCTTGAGGTATAAGGGAATGTACCCGAGCACGATAAGAGGGCGAGGAGGAGGGCTATGGTTAGTAAAAATTAATTCCTTTCGTTGAGACCTTTCATTAAAGTACTATGAAGGATAAAACTAGTTCCACTCCCCCACCCCACCCCCTCCACCAAAGACGAACGATCCTCGAGATCTTATTACGCCTCCATGACTTGTATAGCACACCTTACGGGGTTGATTCTGTACCACCGGAATTGATTTAAATATCTTTACAAATAAAAAGGTAGGTTGCGCATGCGCAAAACAAATTTTTGAGTCTGCATTGATTTTAACTTCATTTTTTAGTTCATCTGCATAATTGTTTGAGGTTTAAGCAATATTTACTAACACACAGAAAACCGGACATTCGTATGTCCTAGCTGGTAACAATAATTTAAAAGAAACCCTTATTTTGGAGGTTTGGGCAATGTTTGTGCTGTAACTTTTTGACCCGTTTGTTCACGTAGCTGAAAAACAATAGCGACTTTCTTATATCCTTAAGAACATGTGTACCAATTTTCCAAGTAATCGGACTTTTCTAAACAAAGTTATGGGTTATCGGGCACACGAACAGACGGATAAACAGAGAGCAATACCAAATTATAAGCGATCTCGCTGCAAAGTAAGGTTAAAGATCTGGCTGGAACTTCGTAAGACGTTCGTAAGTAAGTAATACCTACACGCGTACCCTTATGTTCTCAATACGAACGCTTCTAAAACTGCTGCATACATTTACTATGCTTGTTAAAAAAATAAAATAGTTTTATATAACTTATATGTGTTTTAGTACGCATCAACGACCATGCGGTCATTCAAGAAATAGAAAACCACAACCCATATCGGAACAATTATAGAACTAATTGAAGTTGCAGGTTAAATAGTTCCACCTACTTAACGTCTTGACCTATGAATTTGTATGGAAAAGGCAATTCATTTCATTGTAAAATCAGTATTAAAATTTTAAATAGCTATTTGCCCTTAGGCAGTTCACGGGTATAAATATTCTATGAATTAATTTGGAATCAGTACTCGGTACTCTTTCCATTATAGTTTTGCGTCAATGTTCGAAAAAGACTGAAGAGATTGCTTTACTGGGACGCTCTCTGTGCAGATTTAAGGTACCTATATCTTTATGATTTTTGTAGAGAGAGCAGATCAAAGATTCACTAGAACAATAATTATTTAAGTACTAAGTCTAAATCTTTACTAAAGAAATTATACCGTAACTACGTGTCATGTGCATATTGATAGCACGTTGCATATTTCAGGCAATTGGGGAGGGTGGCAGTGTATATAATGAACAAAAGAGGTCCCAACACCGACCCTTGTGGAACGCCCATTGCTAAACGGGTGTTGACAATGATTTATTATTATTCAATACTATTTGTTGCGTCCGATCAGTAAGATAGTTCTTAATCAGAGGGCACGCATTGTTACTAAATCCAAAATAATGTAAAATGCTTATCAATATATTGTGATCTATTAAGTCGAACGCTTTAGTAAAATCTAGTGAAACCATCCGGGATTTTGTTACGTGGCAAATTGACTCGACATAGGAAACATTTGACAAAAACGTCAAATTTTTATGTACTTAGGATATTACTGTTGAAAAATCATCTTCTCGGATGAGGCCCATTTCCATCTGCGTGGTTATGTTAGTAGGCAAAATTTCCCTATCTGGGGCTCCGAAAACCCGCACACGATTATTCCGCAGCCAATCCACCCGCAATTTATGACTGTTTGGTGCGGTTTGTCGTCTGGCGACATCATCCGCTCGTATTTCTTTGAAAATGATGCGGGATTGGCCGTCACCGTCAACGGTGCGCGATAGGGTTGCACCCCAAAATTGAAGAATAGGACTTGGATGACTTGTGGTTTCAGTGGGACAGCGCAACGCAACAATGAGTTAAAAACGCGCGTCATAGGCCATTTTGGACCTGTTCATTGGCCATCGCGCAGCTACGATTTAACTCAGCTCGATTATTTTTGTGGGGAACTTTGAATGATCGACGCTACAAGGAACCACCAGCGTCAACTAACGCCATGAAGGCCCAACATTCGCAAAGCCATAGCCGAGATACGGTTGCAAACGTTGGAAAATGTCTTGAAAAATTGCGTCGACCGCATGAAGTATTGCAAGGCCAGCCTCGGCCTAGGCCTCGGCAGTTTCATAAATGACATTTTTTTACTTATTTATTTTTGGACATTATTTTTAAATGAGCGGGGTTTGAACCTCATGGATGTACCTTTCTAAGTAAAAAAACCCGTTCGGCCAAATAACTGTGCGTTCCTCATTTTTTAGCCACATGAACTTGGATCACCCTTTAGTAACAATTTATTGCGTGAAACAAATGCTCAATTTGCACATAAAATACCTACGTCGTTTACGTTTGTTGCAGGATCGTTATGGAAACATACGCTGAAAAAAATTCCTCCACATACCACAATAATGGAAACGCGGAGGTAAAACCTATAGATCAAAATACGAGGCAGTACCAGCCTACACCGCGGTATAAATGGGTACTTGTGCCTAGAGCACTGTTTTGGATGTTATACCTACATGTTGGCGGATTATATGGTCTTTATCTGCTTCTTTTTGTTGCTTCGCCGAAAACCTTGATTTGGAGTAAGTATAGGTAACGATTGCATTAATTTTGAGATTCGCGCTGAGTACCTACTAATAACTGCACGACAACGAGAGCACTACAATACCATAAAGCCGTTTTATAGGGTTATTAAAATTGATATGGCAAGTATTTTTCCAAATTTGTTTAAGTAATAAGAAATAGATTATAATTTATACCTAATTAAAACATTTGCGATACGCTGAGTCAAAATTGAGCCAAATGCTGACTTGGCGTAAAATATCTATTCACGTGAATTCACCGATTTTCTTATATGAGTGTGATTTCATCGTATCGAGGAAATTCTTTTGTTTTAGCGTATCTCTGCGGATATTTGGGCCAAATGGGAACCTGGTGCGGTGTTCACAGGCTATGGTCGCACAGATCGTACAAGGCGAAGCTACCTCTGAGAATAATGTTGATGATATTTTTCGCAATGTCCGATCAAGGTGTTATCCTAAATTGGGCGAGAGACCATAGAGGACATCACAAATTTGTGGACACTGACGCAGATACTCACAACTCAAAACGGGGATTTTTCTTTTCACATATGGGCTGGCTTTTTATAAGAAAACATCCAGAAGTCAGCGCCAAAGGAAAACTTATTGATATGAGCGATATAGAAGCGGACACCGTGGCCGTTTTTCAAAGACAGTATGCATTTTGAATAAGTAACAGCTAAGTGCCAAAGTTAACGTTATACAAGTGTTGCAAACAAACTCTCTATTTTTGAAATATTTAATTGGAACTATGAATTCCGTTAAATGATCCAATTTCTCAGGAAAACGACAAACAAATCACCAGCATCGTGAAATATCCAACAGAAAGGTTTTTTCAATGCAACGCCCCTATTATACTCTGTGTCCAAGATAAGGATGTCTATCGTGGGAATCTAGGAAACCATCAAAGACACAACGATGGTCAAATTAGGGAAAAGTTGCGCAATTAAAGGGTTATTGTCCTGCAGAAAATAAAATCAAAACATTCCGATTACGTCTAAAGATATGCCAGAAAAACCTAAATTGGTCGATTTCTTATATTATTATCTTATGGAAATGTAGCACACAAGTGGAATACTCCCTTTGATGTTACAATACAGGGGTTGAATACCCTTCATCGTACTTAATAAAATTGATTTTCCACTACAATGACCAATATTTTCTAACATAAATTATTTAACCGACGGCAAGCTACCAAACAAATTCCAATGCCTTTACCTAACGGAAGTTTGACCTTTTTACTCCAAATCTGAAAATCAAAACTTGGCATTCTGGTTCGATCTAATTCCTCTTTTCCTTACATGTCTCTTATTTACAAATTTAAGTTCAAAAGTATTGCAAATTTAAATTCTATATCCTGGCCACGTTTCCTTCTACTTTACTCATATTTAAACTTCAAGGAACAATAAAAACAATATGGCAATTTAGAAAAATACACACCAAAATTGATCACGTTTAAAGAGATAGGTACCTATTCTTATTCTAATGTACTCTAAAATCGATGTTTTGCCTATGGTGGCATCTTGAAGAAGGCTCCTTAAATCTGAACAAAACAGAACCGAATAATTGGATACCATTTTGCTGTTGTTTTGTTTCCGCTTTCGCAATACGAGGTATTGGAGCACTTAAAAGGCCAAACGAGTTCAGGGCTAAACCCCGAACCTGGTTAATTCTCATTTCATTTTCAGATATTATATACCACTCTTGCTGTTTTTTGCCTTCTGGTTGCCAGCATTTGTACCGTACTATTTTTGGAATGAAAGTGGTTGGGTAGCCTGGCACACTGCAACATTGTGTCGATTATTATGTACCATACATGCCACATTCTTCATCAACAGCGCCGCGCATATGTGGGGAACAAGGCCCTATGATAAGTAAGTATAAGTGTACTGCGTAGTACCTACAGTTTCCTTTATCGAACGAAACTGAAACTGTGAGCCGAGCGACGAACAATTTCTCCTTGATACCATATACCATACCAAAATTTTACGGATCCATGTCCGAACTATATACAAACTAAGAAATTCAAAAAACTTTTTTCCTCTGACATACGGAAACATTTTAAAAAAATTGTTCAGTCCCTAGAGTAGGTCATAAAATATAATCGTCTGTTAGGTAGGTATTTTGGTTCTATCAGAATGTTAAAGAATCGAAGCTTTTGTGGAAGCTCGGTGTCCCCAAAAGGAAATATGGAACCAAAACATTTTTATCGCAATCTCGAATGTGTACATTTTGCACATTTATCTGTTGTTGATGGCAGATTGTAAAATGATGCAATTGTGAACTGTATTACGTATTATAATTACTTTGTTTACTTTTAGAACAATTCGACCTACCGAAACGCTTTTTGTGTCTATACTGACAAATGGAGAAGGCTGGCACAACTACCATCACGTATTTCCATGGGACTACAGAGCTGCGGAACTTGGCAATCACGTTTTCAATCACTCCAAGATGTGGATCGACTTTTTTTCGAGAATCGGCTTGGCATACGAGTTAAAAACTGCATCTGATGCCATGATCAGGAAGAGGGTGCTACGAACAGGAGATGGCTCAAAGACGGCACACGAATGCACCATTACTGATTTTTCTTCTGAGACGGACCATTGCTGGGGTTGGGACGATCCCGATATGAGAGTCGAGGACATTGAGGGTGTAAATGTTATTAGGCCATTGGTTGCATAGTAAATTATAAATGATAAGCATTGTTGGGTAAATCCAATTGTATTAATGTTATGGGTCGGTTATAGGATTTAAAATAGACTAAACTTACTTTTTCTAATCTATAGTAGATCTAGATATTTCAATAGTTAGTTGGTTTTAGTTTGCGGCAATTTTTCGCATCTACATGATATGGGTTCATGAAATTGATGACTTTCTGCATATATTTAAAATTATGTATTGGCTTCGGCGGTGATGAAATGCACTATTAATTGACACTAATACATGATCGTTTGGTTTGGATCACATTTGTTATATGTTTTAACATCATATATTTTGAAGATTATAATGTGTACTTAGATATACCTTAGTATGTATCCCTACACAGTACACATTATAACGTAATAAAGTACCTACCTAATTCCTTTTTTTTAACGAATTGAAGATGTGAAGTGCAGATCTATGATTTGTGATTTATGCGGGGTAGGATCCCTTGTCAGCTCAGTTCTGTTTAGAGTAAATGATCATCCAATAAATAAATGCTCCTACAGATTCCGTAATGAATAAATTTTAGGCATCATACATGCGTTTTGCAACGTAGGCGAGGCGGACCTTGTGGTGCAATCGTAGTTACATAAAGTGCAAAACTGGTTGATTAAATCAAGGCGGGGTTGTTGTGAAAAGCGAACCCTGAATCATTAATTATATATCAGTTTCACTCTTCAATTACACCTTCCTAAACTAAATCAAGAATCAATCAGTTTAACTGCCTAGTTTGTGGCAATATTGTTCTTAAACATTTTCAAAAAGTATATAAAGCAGTTCTAATTTACGTAGATAATTTGAAGACAATTAAGTAGTAGGTAATCCTTCACTGTTGGCTTTATTTTAGATTCAACACTGGGTATACCTACCTAAAACTAATTAATTGTAAAACAATTAATATCTTCGAGTAAGCGTTTACGCTTATCCTTTCCGCTTTCCACCAGTTAACTAAGTACACCATTGCATAACCATTACATTACCGCATACGACACCATGCGAAATTAATTGTTTTAGTCGATACACTTACCAGTAATTTTTTGTAATTGATTTAGGTAGATCTTACGTGGTGCTTATAGGTTTTATATTTATATATGGTTATTTACTAATATATGTTACATAACTCCGATGTAATCGAGTGAAAGTGGTTTTTAAAGATTTGGATCAACAAGTTGCAATTTTTGTAGATCGTAGTACCTACTTTTTATGATTAGTTCCTTTGTGGCTGCGAAAAAGAATCTTTCAAACCGGCATTAGCTTACCATGATGGATACTACCAAATGGTATATTTTTGTGGGTTTTGTTTTTGGTGTAATTATAACAAGTACTGTGTGCTTTCCTGATGGTGCACCTATAGATGCTTGTGTGAAGCCAAAGGTTAATCAGCCAAATCACAGTCGAGCAAAACCACAGTCGCCGGATTCAAATCCGTACCAAATTATCGCGTCGCACAGTCACTATGGACCCGGCACAGAAGTTACAGGTAGGTAATTTCATAACTTCTTCTTTGTGAAGCTTAAATCACAAGTAACTATAGCGATTAGCTTTGTATTTTCAGAATTATGATTTGTATCTTTCTGCAAATTTGTCCCAGTACATCTCATTTACCTTCAACCGTTGGATTTTTAATACATTTTACAAAAAAAATTAAAACAAAACAGTTTTTCTTTCCTCAAGTACGACCGGGGAATAAATGAAACAAAATAATGCTTTCTGTAGGTAATAGATAATTAATTATACTTTAATCTATCCTGTTGCCTCCAACCTTTGAATATGAAATAAAGCTCCAACTAACCAATATAGGTTTCAGTGTCAATAAACTGGCCCCCATGGGTGAGTGGAGTTGGTTCTAGCAAAGAGTATTGGTTCTAGTGATATAGGTTTGACTGTAGTGAATGCAATGAAGTAATCGAGGAAGTAATACCATTGAATTTAGTATAATACTATCTGCAGCTGTATTACATCAAACGCGTATTGACGGCAAAGTTTCTATCATCAGCGAACAACAATTATATTTATTTATTTATTTTATTTTTAGTGTGCCGTGGAGGGCACCACCGCGCCACACAGGCTTTTCAGAAATTCCTAATTACAGAAGCTAGGTATACTTCATTGAAATCACATAGATCGTGATGACGCATGTAAAATTATATTTCGCCATTTTTTTGGACCTCGTCAAATAAAAGAGCTATTGTGGTGGTTTTGTACCCTTATGGCCGTATGCACCGACAAAGGCTCTCGAGATCTCTTCCAATACATTCTAGAGCTTCTGAGGTCACTTCCTGAGCGTTATATGACCTTTACAGAGCTCTATGGCGCTATATAATCTCATTTTTTCAGGGTGTAAAATACAGTATGAACAGTTTTTCATAATATGCATATATGCAAAAAAAACCTTTCCACTTGGTAGGGTTTTTTGGATTATGTCAGAGCGTTCTAGGCTCTTTCAGCGTTTTCTGGTCCCTTTCAATGTTTTATAGACGCACCTATGTTTGTGTAAACTGTTCAGACGACCCCTAATACGTTCTAGAAAGGCCCTACAGGGTCCCTAAAACCATGGTATAATAAAAAACCTAAAACCAAAGAGTATATAACGTATACTCTTTGCTTTGCTAAAACTGACTTAAAAAGTTCTGGAAAGCGATAAAGAGCCCTGAAATAGTTATTTGTACAACTAGAGAAGAAAGTGGAGTTTTTCAACTCGAGTTCAAAGTTTGACACATGGGCGTACCGATTGTGTCAATTGAACGACAGTTGAAAAACACCACTTTCTTCTCAACTCAAGTTTTTTTTAATCTTCAGTCAAAATTGAAAAATTATCGTATGCAATAATGAAATTAGACACATAGCAATCTAGATACGGGTATGTTTCAATTTTAAATATCAGTATAGGTAAGCATAATCTGTGGTATAAGATTAACGCAGAAAAAGTTTTTTACTTTCCTCACTAGAAAAAGTCATTTAAACCCCTATGTTAGAGTGTTTGAATTGTTTCTATAAGTTGTTTGTCCAAAGAGTTTGACCTTACTTTGATTTCTGTCACAGCTTCCATAATCCATACCTATGCCTTTCATCATTTTCAAAGTTTTGTAAATGTTTCTAGAGCTTTGCAAAAGAACTAGAAAATTTAGGGACAAAATTTCTAGTGTTGTCAAGATTAGTCATCACTTCTTTGAATTGATTTGGGTTTTGAACGTGAACTAGATTTGCTATTGTTACTTTAATGACTTGAAAATTATCATGGATATTTATATCTATTTATATCAATGACAATTCAACTCATATATAAAAAATCGCATAAGCCGTAGTGCAATTGTCACTTTGACAGCGGCAAAAGTTACCTGCAACTTTTCCAGCGACAAATGCACTAGTGGTTTTTTCACTTATTCATTTTTATCCAATTATCGCATTATCCTTTCCCATATGACTAGTTTGACGTCTGTCAATAATTGATTAATTTGGTGAATTTCTTGTTCGTTAAATTGTCCTGCCGAATTACACTCGAGGTTTGTATTTAAACTGAGTAAATTTGGGTTGTTGCAATTCAAATCTGTTTCCTTTTAGCAATTGAACTCGAAAAACTGTCAACCTAAAAATGCTCCACCTCCGGTGTCGCATTTTTATTAGTTGACAGTTTTTCTCGTCTAATTGCTAGGCAACAGATTTTCATTACCTAAACAACCCAAATTTACTCGGTAAAATACAAACCTCTTGTGCAATTATAAGTGAAAATGATGGGGATTTACGATAATTCAACCGCTTTAACCGGATTGGTAGAAATCACCATAGAAACAATTGTGGCAATAATTGTAACCATAGCAAAATCTACCAACCCGGTTTAACCGGTTGAATTATCGTAAATCCCCAATACGAGAAGCGAAGAAATGAATGCATTTAATTTCAAATAAAGTTTGACTTTGTTGTTGGGACCACTTAATACCAGGAAGAAAGATTTATGATTAATAATTTTAAATCTCGAAAGCCCTGAGAACATAAAATTTGAACGATAGTATGATCAACAATTGGAAATGTCTCTAGTCCAACTTCGCGGATTGCATACCTATATAAACCGTACAGCTGATCGGGGTCAAGTACTTCCAAGAATATGCTGCTCTAGTCACTATATACTGAGCACAATCCCGCCCTAAAGTATTTAGATACCTAATCACTCAATTACCCTACAATACTATCAGATTTGGAAAACTAATTAAAACTCATTTTATTTACATGACCAGTTACCATCGAGGGCAACGAAAACTTTAAGGGATTTCTCATACAGGCAAGAGATGTTGCAACTAACCAGTGGATAGGAGAATGGTCAGAAATACCAAACACAAATGTCCATCCAGAATGTAGCGCCATAACACATGCCGATCCGGAAGAAAAGCAAAAAGCCGTTCTCACTTGGCATGCGCCAAAGGATACTGAAGGAGGTCAAGTGTATTTTACGTAAGAGTCTTGGGTGCGTTAGGGATTAGTAACTATTATACTCTGTTACAGGGGAACAGTCTTAAAGAGCTACAAGGTGTTTTGGTCTAACTTAGTAAACCTGGTTCCTGAGAATTTCTAACTATACCAATCTGTTATTACCTGCACAAATGCCAATTTATCATTAGGGTTAATAATTAACTTCAGCTTCCTTCTTCCTTGTTTACATGTTCAAAATTTCAACATTTCTTCATTTACCTTCGTGTACGTTAGACATCACTACGAATATTCACTCAAAATCTATTCTTAGTATTTTCCTATCAATTAGAACGCAATGTTGCAATAATATAGGCCCCACGCCCTATAAAGTCGTTATTGAATGTTATAGCATCACCCCAAATACCATTGCCGTTGTAACAAATCAAAACCAACGTGCGATGACCAATGTAGTAATTCTCGTGAATCAATCTTGATTCTGATGAACAGAATTTAATTATTTATTGACGTTAATTAAGTTTGTCTTCAAATGTGGACTATTTTGTAGTAATCTTCCAATGTAGTACATTACCTACCTACTTTTGGACCTTTGCAGATTAACGCGGTAGCCTTCATACCTCCACTTGTTTTAAGTGTTTAACTTTGATCATGTTCAAGATAAAAAATGATCAATCAAGTTGAACATGCAAAGACACCAACATATCAATTAATACACCTGATTCCTGATCATTTATACAATGCCAGCAAGCAAGCCTCCGTTCCTTCTTCCCTTCTTACTCGCTGACTTGGGTTTAATGAACCCCCCTGGTGCCAACAAGAAATAGGTACCTACTTACATGCATTGCATTGGATAAGTAGGTACTATATTTCATTATATCAACACTTTCTACTTATAATTTGTTAATAAAAGGAAGCTAAATACCAACAGTATTACAAATCATATAAATATAAGAATTCAAAACTAGGTTTTTCTGTATGTAAGGAAACAAATAAACGTATATTATGAGAGGTAGGTACATTTTTGCACTTTCACACCGATCTGGTCAACCCTCATCGCCGAGAAAAGGTTACGCCCAAATTCAAGGATATAAGGTACAGTGCTTACGAAACATTTAGTATTTACCTTAACAAATAAAAAAATTGGGATTGCGCAAATACAAAGATTGGTTTGCGCAATTTCTTTTTATTCATCTGCACAGTTGCCTGAGGTTTAAGGAATATTTACTAACACAGAAAACCAGACATTCATATGTTCTTTGTAACAAGAATTATAAAAGGAACCCTTTTTTGGAGGTTTGGGCAGTTTTTAGACTGTAGCTTTTGGGCCCGTTCGTCTATGTAGCCGAAAAACAATCGCGACCATTCTTAAATCTTGAAGAACATGTGCATCAATTTTCAAAGCGATCGGACGTTTCTACACAAAGTTATCGTGCACACGGACAGACAGACATCAATACAAAATTATTAACGATCTCGAGGATCGTTAGCAAATAATGGTACCGCCGATATCGGTTCTTGTGGTCATAACGTCTTCAATAATTCCGGTTCCATATGAGGGGGGTCTATATAAATGTAATCGGTATCGCTTCCAAACGCTGGTCATTAACACATGTGGCGGAGGAAGTGAAATCCATAAGAAATGTATTAAGAAGTGTAGTGTATGTGGCGTATTAGGCTTGCAAAACGCGAATTACTGAAAGTGCGTTTGATACCAGTCCTTCATCCCCATCAATAAACATGTATGGAGGCAGGAGTTGGAACCTATATGTATTATAGGTTCTTGTTCAGCACTACTTAGGTAGAATTATATTTTAAGGGTTGTGATACCGGCTACGGTTCTGTGACTTCAATCATTTTCGGTTCCGCTTCCAGGATTTTTCGATTTTAATGGGTTCCAATGTAAACAAATAAAAATTTAAGAAAAAAATTACAGACAAAATTAGACTAGATTATTATTTTGCATAGTAGGTAATAATTTATAAGAAAGGATATTTAAATAAGTATAAATTGTGCAAACTCTTGTGCAGATAAAGCGCATTTTTTTAAACCCGAAATGACTTAGTAAATGGTAGCGTGCTATATTTATCAATGTTTTCTTTCTTGTTATATGATTAATGAGGAAGCTTCACCAATATATGTATCTTACTTGTAGACGTCCCAATCACCCTTTGTGAGTACCATCCTCTGATAATCTTTTCTTGAGATATAAGGAATGATTTATATCCGATCACGATAAGGAGTCGAGGAGGAGGACTATGGTTGGTAGAAATTAATTCCTTTAATTGAGACCTTTCATTAGAGTACCATGAAAGATAAAACCAGCTCCCCCTTCCCACATCCGCCAACCAAATCTCCTCTTTTGATAAGGAGCCCCCCACCCTCCTCCCCAAATACAAAAAAATTGTAGGATCTAACTTTTAAGAGAAAAAATATAAAACAGATTTTCCTCTGACAATGCGCAGCGTGTTTACCTACAAGAGAGAGACCGAAAAATACCGGTTCTTTGGCACTGGCACTCCTAATAACGGTAGCGGTTATCATAAATTATTTAATTACGGTTCCGGTTCTAAATGAGGGGCCTATAATTATGCAATCGGTTCCGCTACCGATTTTAACCGCTGTATTGAGCGTGTTTCGAGTTCTGTAAGATTGTATGTACATTCGACTTTAGTGCCGCACGCTGTATACAGTTTTGTAAACCGACCTTAATCTTTTATTATTTTATTGCTGATAAAATATCAATTTTTCCCATCCTGCAGTTGATTTGGAAAGTCATGCTACAAAATCCCGAAATGTACTTGATATTTTTCCGTGTATAAAACTAAATTGTAAATTTGGAGGCTAACTCTGACGTCACACATAACTGTGGTAACAGTGCGTTGCGTCCCTTTCTATCGCTAAATAATCCGTAACTGGCACGACTTCTCTCTCTTTGTCGTTGGACCTGAAATGCGTATGTTCCACCACGGAACATTCTAGAATTTATTCCTTTTTTACTTCTCAGTCGCCTGTCATTCATTTTGTTTTCGCTCGAATAAAGGATATCCTAAGTTCTCCACGTGTTTTTATCAACCGATAACGAAATACAATTTTTAACAATTTTTTATCACGTAAGTAATAATTTATTGATTCCGTTTCTTGGCAATAATTATTAAAGTTGCATGACATTATAATCTCTAAATTTAAACGTCTTTTAGAATGGTAAAGGAAACGAAATTTTACGATATATTAGGAGTGAAACCGGGATGTACTCCCGATGACTTGAAAAAGGCATACCGAAAATTGGCCTTGAAATATCATCCAGACAAGAATCCCAATGAAGGTGAAAAGTTCAAACAAATTTCGCATGCCTATGAAACACTCGCCGATCCGGAAAAGAAGCGGATTTATGATCAAGGTGGAGAGCAGGCGCTTAAGGAGGGTGGTGTTAGTGCAAGCAGCTTCTCGAGTCCAATGGACTTCTTTGACATGTTCTTTGGAGACTCTAGAAGGCATAAAAGAGAAAGAAGGGGTAAAGATGTGGTTCATCAAATGAGCGTGTCTTTAGAAGAGGTTTATAAGGGGGCAGTTAGGAAATTAGCATTACAAAAAAATGTGATCTGTGATAAATGCGAGGGCCGTGGAGGAAAGAAGGGAGCAGTAGAACAATGTCAAACATGTCGGGGTACAGGAATGCAAGTACAAATACAGCAATTGGGTCTAGGAATGATTCAGCAAATACAAACGGTCTGTTCAGATTGCCGTGGTCAAGGTGAACGTATCAATCCAAAGGATCGATGCAAACAATGCCAAGGGAAGAAGGTCGTTAGAGAGCGTAAGATACTTGAAGTCCACGTCGATAAGGGAATGGTAGATGGGCAAAAAATTGTTTTCAATGGAGAAGGTGATCAAGAACCCGAATTGGAACCAGGTGATATTATCATTGTGTTAGATGAAAAAGATCATCCAATTTACAAACGTTCCGGAGGCGATCTGATTCTTCGACAAGAAATCCAACTTGTAGAAGCACTTTGCGGTTTTCAGAAAATTATAAGAACTTTGGATGACCGAGATCTAGTTATTACAGCAATTCCAGGAGAAGTTACAAAGCACGGAGACGTTAAATGCATTTTGAACGAAGGAATGCCACAGTATAAGAATCCATTTGAAAAGGGACGGTTGATTGTACAATTTGTTGTGGTTTTCCCTAACCAAATAGCTCCAGAAATAATTCCTATGTTAGAAAATTGTTTACCCCCACGACCCGAAATCATGATTCCCGATCAAGCGGAGGAATGCACTTTATTACCTTTCGATATACAACAGGAAAATCGTAGACGCGAACACAAAAATGCTTACGATGAAGATGGCGATATGGGCGGACCGGGGGCGCAACGGGTGCAGTGTGCTACCAATTAAATTAATTTCATATAGACGCATTTTAACTTATCGTAATGTATTCCATTTGTATTATCATGGCACATCTTTTACTGTTGTGTATACTATTTATAAGGTTATTTAAGTAGTGAAATACATTTTTATTTATAGACATTTGTATAATCGGTCTAAGAGACTATAGATCGCATTCAAAAATTTGTACACATCATTTAGGAACCTCTCATGCTTTCTCTGTGACTTGTGTAACTTAAACACTTATATGGAATAAATTTCTGATTGAAACTCAACTGTAACTGCGAAGTTAGATTGTATGTGTCATAAAATTTATTTTTTTGTGTAGCATAGCAGGAGACACCTTTGGAGACTGTCCGAATTCAAGTGTATTTTTTATTTATATATTCCAGTGTTGAGTTTATGTAATAAAAAAGTCATTGTATGTGTTTTAGATTTTAAATAGCTATTATACAAAACACAAAATTTTAAGTACCAAGAAATGAGCAATTACTAAATCCATAAAATATTTAAATTTCAAATAGTACTACTGTGGCTTATCATTTCTACATATTTAATATGTGGAAGTCCTTAAACGATAAAAAATCTCGAAAATGAAACATTGTAGCAAATGCTAAAAATGTTCGCCGTTTACAATTTGGCCATGACCTAATTTACTATGAAAGCCTCGTTAACTGCATCACTGCACACATTGAAGCCACAACTTTGTCTCGTATTAATTATTTTTCTGTTTTATTAAAGCAGAAACTTTGTTAGTATCTTTTATAGTTTATAAAATTATTGGGTTTATACCATGCTATATTTATCAATGTAAACATTTAAAGGTCGCCTGGCACATTCAATAAGATCTACGCATACTGCAAGAAGAATCAAGTCTTCCGCAATATTACATTTTCCTATTGTATATATACCTTCCTCTGACACTTCATTTTCGAGAAATTCACACATAGGTTTTGAGATCACCAGTAGATCTCTAGTCCAGACGTCCATTTGCGACTCATTTTCATCATCCGAGGATTCACGCCCTAGCTGCATTATCGGCACTCAATAAATTAACACCCTGTATATGAGAACAAATTTCTTTGAGTGTAATTTATTATATGGTAGGTGAATTAAAGAGTTATTTCAGATTACTTTTCTTACCATGCAATTAGAAATTTACCAACTCGGTTCCAAAGATAATGCCAACTACCTACAACAAACGTGAGGGGGCCTCCCCCATCATTCCGCTTATCGGTTCCTCCCTGAACTTGAAGAGAACTTTATAAAATGGCAAATAATGCAAAAACATAAGAAAATAAGTAGCAAACTGGTAATAAGTAGGTAATTAATTGCATACTGTATAAATGTTTGGTCTTTTGAAGGTACTTGATTGTAAATTTTAATGGGCATGCATAGAGGTCTATTAGTTGTTATGTTCAATCTATTGGTCACTGCATGTAAAAGATACTAATTCATGGAGGGGGGGGGGGGCATAAGGCAACAAAATTTTAACGCCGTCTGACACACCTTCAAGGTATAGGGTACAATTGCAAAAACTTTCAGAATGCTAGGACAATTCCCCTAAAGGTGTTCAAACCATCAGCAGAAGTAAGTCCGAACAGACAAAATGCAAACTATAGCAAGTTGTTTTTAATTTAAAATAAAACGCACTAAAAATTCATCCCAATATTGGTCAAACACGAATACCCTAGAGGTACTCCTTTCGGAAATTAGAATACATACTAGGTATATATATGTACAGCAAGCATCTTGCTGTTTATTAAAATCTAATAACATATAGCGCTACTAAAAAGAAAGATTAAAAAAATTGGCAGATTTCCCAATCCATGCAACCATCGGAGACATTGGAAATGAATTACTTTATATCAAAGTTTTTTTCTAGAAATCCGAATATTGTATTGTATGTAATTATGAATTATTGCCAGCCATAATTTAGTGTAACCTTTACATAATTGTTTGTTTATTTAAAAATTTGATTGTTGAAATGTATGTACAACTAAATATGCATGTTTTGAAATGGATAATTTGGTAGGGTGGAAGATAGCTCCTGAGCGAACCCTGTACCATTTGCGAGATTTAGCAACAGAATAAACATTATTATTATTATTAAAAGCGACTTGAACACACACATCAATAGGTACAAATGGACTGAGTAGTATGTGCAGAGCCAACTGTCTTAGTTGCAGACAGATTTTTTCTGAAATTTTAACAGTAATAAGTCATTTTGGGTATATGGTTGAAAACGAATTTGGTTGTAATAACCAATTTTGATGTATTCTCTTAAAAAATCTGTGTGTAAAATTACATGTAGAAATTTGTCCGAGTACAGCAGCTTTTAGTGTATTTGGAAAAAATGCTTGTTGTGGGTCTATTCGCATTTGTTTTACCATGTCATAATTCATAGATCTTCGTTGGACACCCTGCCAATAGATATCCAAACATTTCAATTATGTACATCATATACATATACATCTGCAATATCCGCCAGACATGCAAGGGTCGCTATATTAATACAGTAAGACAATAACCATAATATAATACCAAGAAATGTCCAAAACCATGTTAAAAATAATCGTGTTGAGAATTTTGTATTTGGAAACCAGACTTTTAATCCGGCTCATATTTAATAGCACTAACCCTTGAACTCGTAGAAATTGATTAGCGAAAATTTGACATCACCGTCTCAAATCGTTCTTGAGGAACAGACAAACAAAGCCAACACATAAGGGAAAACAAAAATTCCCCTACAAACTGGTTATTTATCACTTGTAGCTTTGAATGCTATTCATTTAATGCTCATTACTTGTTACTTGTAATAACAACCCTGTCGTAACACTGGATTAAAACAAAAGGTTATTGGGGCGAGGCACCCAAGCAATCCAGAGCAGGTGTTCGGTGAAAAAATTAACATTAAAATTAAAACTACACAGTAGGCGCAGTTCCAAATCTGTCACTGAGTTGTTTATTCTAAAGAATAACCATCTATAATACGGGTTTTTGAAAATTTAACCGGGTAATTTTGCTATGGGAAGAATTATTGTTTCCGTGATTATTTCCACCAACCCAGTTGAATTTTCGAAAATCGCCATGTACCTACTTATTTTACTTATGTCACAGCCGGGATACACATTAGCATTGTTTATAAAACATGATTGCACAATGATTTGGTAAGGAGGTAAGTGGTAGGAGAGAAACTGTACGACTATAAATTTGAGATGTACCCTAAGATTGATAAATACAAAAATTGCAATATGTCTCTAGTCAAGTTCTACAACCACTGGGGCATCTTCTTCATCATCAGAATCTAAATGAGTAAAATCCCATTCATACCTATTTGTAAGATTGCTTTTAAACTTTTCTACTTTCGATTTAAATCTTCCATCAACATCGCTATCACTTACACACCGGAAGAACACTCGCAATTTCACATAAATAATGTTATTGTTTGTCACAATGTCCGCCAAAAATTCCTCTGGTGTTTCCAGAATTTGAACCTCAAGTGTAGTTATTAGCGCATCATACAAAGTGTAGTATTTTGTAATTGCAATGTCACAAGAGCATAGCAAACACACTAAATTTTTCCAATGTTCAAATGCTTCTATGCTGTGACCAACCAAGAAACATATGTACGAAAACTGTAGCTCACCAATTAAATCAATTTCCCTGAAAAGACGGCATCAATTTCAAATAGTACCACTGTTGAAACTTACTGTGAATAGTTTTGCAACATTTTTTCTAATGCATATGTCGAGTCCAAGGAATAATGAGTGATTTGTGATGGAGTTGATCCTTCTGGGAAGTTTCGTTTTGGTACTGCAGTAAAGCGTATCTCAGTACCTGCAGTGGGTCTCATGTTAGGAAGCAATTCATCTTCTAAGTCTTGCATTGAACTGCTACCAGCTCTAGGCCTTCGCATTAACTGATTATTCAAATCGTTACCAGAATTTCGAGGTCTGTTTTCATTACTACAAGGTTCTAAATCCAGAGCAGATCTGATTTTTCCAACTTCTGGCGTTAATTTCTTTATTAAAGTATCTAAAACATCAAATTTGGACGTTTATAGATAAGTATTTACACTATATACCTGTGATATGTGATGATAAAACAGTCCACTTTTTCCAAACATCCAGAGGATATGGGCCTAGAAACTTATCCAATGTAGGAACGTTATCCTTTAGTAAAACAGACTCTCTTTCTGGGACGTTATCAGAAGACACATCTTGAAGGTTAATATCCCACTTTCTCATTACGAATTCGGATTTTTTAAAGTTGTAGAAAAACCCAACTTTAGGTAGTATATCTCCATAGTTATTTAATGCACTGTAATGTATGAAGTGTATACCAGGTGGAATCATTTTGATCCCTCTAAAATTTTCCCCGGTTGTGAAAATCTTCATATCGATACCGAATTCTGTTCCTGGAGGTACATGAAGAAGAACTAATCTTCCACCATCTACTAACAAATGCTTCATTAAAGCTTCATCCATGTTACAATAGTTTCAATAAAAAACAGAAACAAATAACCCAAAAACCAAAATGTGTGGTTATGCAAAAATTAAAATAATAAAATATTCGCGTTAGACAGTGGCGTGTAGTTTGCCCGCCGCAGGGGGGGTTGTTAGGTTGTCCGTTGAATTAGCTGATTCAGTCGCTCTACAGATCATCAGTCCCATAGACAAAATAATTAAAGAAACATAACGTGCATTTTTGAAAAAATGTTTAATAAAAGTACAATTAAGTATAATAATGGTGGGTTTATACAGTCATTATCATTAGTTCACCAATTGGTTGGTCTGCCTCGCCACAGAACCTGCACGCGGGAGCTACATATGTTGTGCAAGTGAGTTGGCCATCTAGTGCTCCGTGAGGATGTTTCCCTAATCTGTCGACCTCTATTCAGTTTTAGAAGTCTTAACGGCTTAGACTTGCCCAGGAGCCCCGATAAAAAGGCGCTGGGCTGTTTGTTCGTTGCAACTGAGCGTACGGGCCCTGTAGATGATAGTATCATGAGCTTATCCTATTAGACTTACGTCTTACATAGTTCCCGCATTCAAGCGCGTGCCATAGCCGTTCGTATCCTATCAACTGATGACAGAGGGCCTTCAGCGCTACTTGAATGGCACTGAATTATGTATCTGCTTATTGCAGTTATCTGAGGTGACTTATGCGCAGGTCATTTATTTATTTATTTATTTATTTATTTATTTATTTATTTATTTATTTATTTATTTATTTATTTATTTATTAATTTAGGTAGGTACTCGATCCTTTTCCCCGACGCGACGTACTTGGCGTGTTATCGGGAAACTAAACAAGTATAAATTGTGCACAACTCTTGTGCAGATAAAGCGCATTTTTTTAACTGAAATAGCTTTTGTTTTGACATCACCAATGGATATATTTTTTGCAAACGTCTCAATTGTGAGTACCCTCTTCCGACAATCCGTTCTTGAGGTAAAAGGAAATATACCCGATCACGATAAGAGGTCGAGGAGGAGGGCTATGGTTGGTAGAAATTAATTCCTTTTGTTGAGATCTATCATTAGAGTACCATGAAGGGTAGAACATGTGTTAAACCCCCCCCCCCCCTTCTCCTTAAAGCTTAACTTAGCACCACTAAAGGCATGCGTATGCAAAATCTGAGACCAGTTTGTCGTATGGAGAAGCTATGCACGTTTTACTTTCAAAAACAGCATCTCGCGAAATAATTCGTGGGCGGGGGGCCCTTTTAGACAGCGAAATTTCATGGCCGTCTGGCACACCTTCAAGGTATAGGCTACCTAGTGCAAAGGACCATTCCCCTAGAAGTAGTTCAAAACGGTAGAAGTGGGTCCGGACGGACGGACGGACAAACCGCAAACAGCACATTTTTTTAAATTCTTAAAAAATGCGCTAAAAATGACACATTTTCTTAGCGACCCCACCCTTGATTCTTCACCTTTGATGCAAGTTTACCTAAGAACAATTCACCCCTTTATTAACTAGAGTAATGTGCAATTAGAATTTGTATGTAATATTTTAAACAGGCTCAATTTTTAAAGTTCTAATTAAACATCCAAAAATGTTACATAAACAGTTTACGTTATGCAGCTTTTTAACCCCAGGGATAAAATGAAAAATAAGACGCTTCTAGCTGGTCTCGCTTCTGTGTATTAACTCAGACATTGACCTTAATATGCGATCGATATAAAAAACAAACACTCAGATCATACAACGTTTAACTTCTCATGTAATTGGCGCCCTTTTGTCTTGGAAGTAAAGGTGTTTTGTGGTATTGGGTAATCAAGGGTTGTGATTGGAGATTCTAATTTGTAATAATTATAAACCTTTGGGGGGCAATTTAAAATTTTAGCATTACGGGGAGGTGTGGTGAAAGTTTACTACACGATTTTATGACGGTGTGATTTAGTGTTATTATATAAACACAATAGATGTCACGGCGGTATGAAATTAGCTGTTGGCATCGAACACGCAATGATTTCTGGGAATATGAAAGGGGAACCATATTTTACAGTGTCAACTACTGGATATTTATGTGATTGCTGTGAATTAACAATATAGATATATGAAAGTGATAGTTTGTGAATAGTATTCATGTGGTCGGAGATACATTATTATGCAGTTGAACTTTAAAGGTTTACAGAAGATGCTCCTTTGTGGTATTTTTCATAAGAGCAGAAGGAAAATTTAGTAACACAGGTGTTGGGTTAATCTCAGTTGCAGATTTTTGTGAAAACATATTTCTAGTGATAAGTTTCCGTTCCCAGTTCATCCATTGATTGTAATGCGAATTTTTTCAAACAGCGATTATACAAAGGGAAAAAAGACGAAATGCAGGTAAGATTTGTGTTTTTTTTTCTTTATTTGCTTATTACTTACTCAGGCAGTACAATGAATTTAAGTGGATAATGTGCTGCATGTGTTTACACCAATCTTTTAATGTGTCTGTGTGGAAGCTTAACCCAGTAAATTAATTGGTATACCACATGTTCTCATTACATCAAATTTATAATTAAGATTGAAGTTTACCTTCTTCAATTCATTGCAAGAAATTTTAATCAATACTTATGAACTTTTAAGGCAAAATTAGGTGGCCGATGGAATTTTTACAATTCATTCTACTGATACAAAGAAAGTACTTTTTCTATAGTCACACATGAGGGGAAAATCACTTTAAAGTGCATTGTACACCATGCTTAACAATCGGAGAACCGTAAAAACCGTTGTTTACAGGAATATAGCGTATGAAACTTTTCGAATTGCAACAGTGGCCTAAGCCCTAAACTGATCTGGCTGATTACCAGATTACACAAAACAAAATTAATATCAACGAAAAACATGACGTTCCAAATGGTGCTGCCAAGAATTTGTATTATAAACTGTAATGAACAAACTAAAACAAAACACAATCATAATACGGCAATTTGTTAATTCCATTCATCTGTTACTTATCGTTAATGGAGTTATTAGACATTTACAAGAAATATTTTTACTAACAATTCCTCGCTTAGCAGATCGTTAGACTACTGTGTTTCACCTCGGCGGTGAAAATGTCAAGTTTTTTATGAAGCTTAATCCAAAAAATAACACTGTATTAGAGATGGTATACGATCTTTCCTAATAAAAAATTGTTCGACAGTAATACCAGTTCTTTAACTTTTTTATTCATAAAGTTCAATTTCCAGAGGATACCGAATCGGAAATCAGGTGCATTTTTCACAGGTGGTCTTAAATATAGTAAGAAATCGTTGCTTCCATTTCAAGCTGATCTATTTCCACGAACTTAATGAACTATCGAATCTTGAGGCGTATCTATCTGAGTGCAGATTTCAGTAAGAAGTCACTGTGTGCGGGAGTTAATGAACATGCCTCTTTTGGTAACATTAAGCGGTGTCTCTTAGGGATGTACTGTGGGACCACTCGTGTTTTCTATTGTTATTAACAATATTATCTCGAACATTACATATCAGCTTCTGATATATATATATGTTAATGATTTTAAAATATTTACTTTTGTAGACAGTGCAAATAATCCCTATCTATTAATCGAGTACGTTGCTTGCTTTTCCCTTTTACTAATCAGTCATTTGTTTTGTAACTGTGTCATTGTAAAGTGTATGTGTGTACGATCATTGACAAAAGTAATGATCTGCTAATAGGTAAACTCTGTAGCATAAGCAAACAACATGACTATTACATCATTCTGTTGGTTTTTTCAAGAAGGAGATACCTTAATTTGTTGGCTCGCATTTCTTAGTTCCTCAATGTATTCAAATGTTGGCCTTGTATGCTGCAGGATTTACCTATTCTGCTCGCTATTCTGCAATCATTACTTTTGTCAATGACTGTACATAATATTGTGCGATTGTATGTGAATAAAATTTTATTCATATGACTTTTCGCCATATTTGCACCCGTTTCTTCTTTTGTTTAAATCTATGTAAAGCTCAGTTTATACTCTCGGCCGCGTTTTAAGCAACCACTTGTATTTACAATGAACTTAAAAACCTCTTTAAATACTTTAATTGGTTGTAGTTCCTTTAATTTCAATTTCAATTTTAAGCGCCTATTTACTAGTGGTTAGGCTCGTGGTTAGGTGTGAAACCATTTTTGTTCAGTATTGCATTTTTTTAGAAAATAACTAAAGCGAGAGGTAAAGATATAGGTACTGCATGTTTAATTTAAAAAAAGGTTACTGTATTGAATATCTCGAGAGGGTAATCCCTTGAATAGGGGGGCACCACATGCGCAATATTGCACACACTGCAATAGTATTGCACAAATTGTCTTAATATTGGACAATATTGTGCACAAAACAAAATGAACATGCGCAAACTAACTCGCGCATGCGCAAGTGTGTCAAAGTTTCAAAAAGCTGTCAATTGTCGAGGTTTTCACATATGTGAGTCAACTATTTCATCGTGGGGGTGGTATTTGTGCTAGCCACAGCACATTTTTTGTTGGACCATTAGTGACAAAGTTATAGAGGAAATTCGACAGCAGTATTACCGAAATAAACTTGTGCATATCTTGAACCCTGCGATAAAGGGTTATAAGGAGGATTGTACAATAAAAAGTCATGATTAACTGAACAGTTGCTCTGAATGTAAAATTAAAAGCCTAACAGTTCTTTAAAAACGTGGATAATTCGCCAAATAAAAATTCGGCTTATTTTCGAAAAGCTACATGGACGGCCCATATTATCACATTTTGCTCTATTGTGTTCGAGATTGTGTTCAACACTCACATTGCCTTTAACAAAAGACTAGAAATACTTTGTGGGACATCCTAAATACATTAACGATCTGGCAAAATGTAGAAATGCTAAATAATAAAAATTTTAAAAATGCATGAACCGGGAATCGAACTCGCGCCGCCGTCCGCGTGGTAGTTACAAGGATTGGGTGAACGACGACGGCGACGACTAGCATCTTAATAAACATGTATATGGATATCTTTTCATCAGCCCTTGTCGATCATAATCTATAAAACAAAGTCGTGTATGTTACACGACTTATAACGGCTGGATCAATTTTTATAATCACTAATCAATAATAACACGAAAAAATAAAAGAAAATTATTATAAAAGTAAATCAGAGAACTAATGACAGCAACGGTCAAATCAACTGTTTTCAATCTTACCAACCGTCAAATTAAAAAATGTCAAATTACTTAAAAAGTGATATACTCGGAATTTTACAGTCTTGTAATGACGTCATTTTTGTCTATCCTTGTTTAACTAATGTAAAATGACAATGACAAAAAATTTTGCCGAAATGTTGTTGTGAAATGTTGTTGTCGTGGCTAAATTTTACCTGAAATGCTTGTCAAGTGATTGTCAGTTTTGAAGTTTTGAAAACGCCAAAGCGTCAAAACATGCCGCCAAAAAACCCTCATCGATTTAACGAACAAACACAGTTAATAATTCTAAATGTGTTGGCTTTCTTTCAAATTGAACAGGAACAAGTTCGGAATGGCATACCACTAGACATCAACAATGTTATACAGCGAACTGCACAAGCAACGAAAGTCAGCCCAACAACCATTTCAAATTTGAGAAAAAATGGTGTAAAATCCGACAAAGATTACGCATCTAATGTCTCTACCAAGCAAAAGATTAACAAGACGAAAATCACAGAATATTTGAAGAATAAAATTCGGGATACAATCTATTATATGTACTCCCAAAAGGAATATGTTACACTGGCAACTATTAGACAAAAATTTCTGGAGCAAAACGAATATTTTCAATTTTCCATTGATTCATTGAGAAAGTGGATCAAAAGTATGGGTTTTAAATGGAAGAAGTCCAATAACAGAAAATATCTTATGGATTTACCGGATATTGTCCACAAACGAATAAAATTCTTAAGGGAGTACATTGAAAACAAAAATTTGGGACATGAGGGTTATACTCCGGTTTTTATGGATGAAACCTGGATATTTAGTAAGGGATCATTTCGAAACAGCTGGCAAGATGATACTAAGCACACGGAATCAATTAAACCCAATGAAGGTAAAATAAGATATTATAATACCTTTTCAATATTATTAAAAGAGATATTCTTTAGGTCATCGATACATTATTGTCCACGCTGGGACGAACGATGGCTTTATTGGTGGGGCAAGTTTGATTTTTAAAAGTGGAAAAAAACAGGGGACTATCATGATAATATGAACAGGGGTAATTTTGAAAATTGGTTCAAGACTCAACTGGTGCCAAATCTTCCTGAAAAATCTTTAATTATTATGGACAACGCAAGCTACCATTCTGGCCTTTTAGAGAAAATTCCCACCAAATCATGGACAAAACAAAGAATGATAGAATGGTTAGGGGAAAAAAATATCGGCTATCCAGAAAAGGCAATGAAGGATCAAATATGGAGCATTGTCAGCGCAAACTGCCCCAAAGAGAAAAAGTACTACCTTGATGAATATGTTAAGCCTTTAGGACATAAAATTTTACGGTTACCGCCATACCACTGCCAATTTAATGCGATTGAAATGGTGTGGTCTCAGTGTAAACAAAAATACGATCAGTACATTGCAAATTTTAAGGGATCACCACAAGAGGTTTTGGCAACATGGGAAAGGGTTATCGGGGAGATTTCTAGGGATAATTGGGAGAAATACGTAAACCATACGGACAAAGTAATACAAGAGGCTTGGGGAGCAGTACAAGTTTGTGATGCTTCTGACATCCCACCTCTTGTTATCACTACAGACGCAGATGACGACCTTACTGACGACGAATACTTTGATTTTGACTCTGAAGATACGGACGAGGGCGACTAATTTTCTTCTAATACTGTGACCATTACAATCGCAATAAATTGGCATTGGTATATTTTTGTTTTACGATTTTGATTTTCCAACTATTCATCAAGGTAGTGCAATTTTTTCTTGTGTAGATGTGGTTTCGATAGTGGTTCTTTGAATTTTTATGTACTCCTCTGCTAATTATTTTTTGGGTCTTTTCGGGAGTATTGATTCCTAAATAATATTCTGTGATTTTCGTTTTGTTAATCTTTATTTATTTAAAAACAAAAATATGTTAATATTACTTATATGTTAGTTGAGCAAGTTATTAAAATAATTAGTGAGTAAATGACCTTTTTTGAAATACTAACATTTTATCCATCGCGGTTTCGCTCGCAAAAAATATGAACTATTCGCATTTTTTAACATGTTAAAAATTTATTTTCGATATCTTCAGTCGTTTAGGCTGTGCGTTGATATCTCAGTCAGTCAGTCAGTTAATTAGGACTTCTTCTTTTATTAAGACCTATAGATTTCTTGTGGAAATTGACTTAATTATTATCAAAAAATGCTAAAATATTATGTACACCACTGTATAGTAAAAGTCATACAGGTAATTAGACACCAGTAGTCAGTTACTTAGCAACAAATAAATTTAATAGGACATACGTTTTTTCCCACGAAAATGACGTCATTACACGACTGTAAAATTCCGAGTTTAGGTGATCTGCGTGATTTGGATCAACTATAAATCACGCATTGTGTAATAATGATCAATAAACGCTTGCCGCTGAAAAATACACAATATGTATTTCAACAGATTTAAAGTGACCTTGCAATTTTGCAACAAATCTTCAACATTCAAAATTTTGAATAATCTTTTCTTTTTGATTTCAAAAATGCGTAGGTAATTTGTTGACATTTGCTTTAGTCGTTTTTGAAATATTTGCATTTATTTATTTATTTTTGTAAATGTTGGTTACATTTTATGAAAAAATGAAGTTGGTCTAGGTTTTATCCAGAGTTAAGATAGGTATATTAATTAATAATAAATAATAATGGTCATTTATTTGTTATGTCAATTGCGATTTGGTCTCGCATTTGGTCAAACAATTTGATAATAAATAAATGTCAACATTGTATATTTTTGGAATGAAAAAGAAAAGATGTATTCAATTTTTGAAAAATATACAGAGCCAAGTACGCCCTGTACTCCATTAAAAATTTTCCAAATGTGCAGTTTTTCTAAATTTGCGATATCCATTTGTTTTTTTTATTTACTTTACATTTTCTGGCGATGTATGATAACTTTTTGTATTTAAAGTTTACATCCGGAGAAATAATGACCTGCACCAACATAAGTACGGAGACAACGAGCGAGAAAGTCACTTCCGGTTGACGAATATTGACCAAAATTCGTAACCGTTAGCGAGTTATCGTGTCCACAGACGGACGGACAGAAAGTCCAAAATCATAAACTCGCTTTTTGTCGCTCGCTAATGATCACAATAAATTCTTCTGCAATTCTAAATGTTTCAAAATTATTTTGAAATTCCTGGAAAGACCAGAAGATAGTTCCAAATACATCTTGAAATTTCTGCGCTGTATGCACTAACAATACTAAAGTGATTTCCCCCCAGTTTTCCCTTCTCTCCATGACTGAATGAATTTTGACAATTAGGTAATTATTGAAAGCGCTTTTTCTAAAATCGCGCAATATTTTGCACAGAATAATCTAATAAGTACAATTTCATTGCAGGCATATTGTTCTATAAGAAGAGGCACGCAGTGTGGGCCGATAATGTACAGGCAGGATGGCCGGCAAACCTGAGTTATCAGCTGCTACTGGAGTGCAAAATGTTGTAGTTTACGTTTCCGACGCAAACTTCGGCCAAACGTATGCAGTTGGCCAGCAGAATGTTTCACCTTTCAACACGCAAACATCCCATAATGCGACAGTGGCATACACCAACTCATCACATTCACTGGCCCCTGTGGAAGGGACGACCAAGACATTTCCAGAAAAAATTCGTTTACTCAAACCGTACACGCTTAACGGACAGTTTGTTAATGAATCGGAGGGATATTTCTCAAATAACACGCCGCCTGTGATATCGGAGAATGGTTTTCCGCAAACGTGCGCGACAAATATTATAAATAACATAACCGAATTTCAAAACGTAAATGTAAATAATGGTACGGTTTTAAATCAAAGTAATTTTACGAGTACGTCGATCAAAAACTTAGTCAATTATGGTGGCAATAGTTCCGAAATATCAACCGAGAAAACGCCTGCTCCAGGCCGGCTCGAAGTTAGAGTACGCGAGGAATGTGATATCCGTGAAGGTTACTCTTCCGCGGATTCGGGTTATGTGAGTGTTATGGGTGGTGATGGACCTTGCCAAAGTGTACGGTGTGATTCAGTGAGATCGGAAACTGCGGAATCAAGTTGTAGTAGTTTAAGTTCTGCAGATGAAGGATTATTTGTGATTCAACCGCAAAGATCTGAAATGGTTGTTTATGATGGGAATGTAAGCGTTAGGCCGGGTGGTGTTGTACTTGCCGTAGGATCGCCCGATACTCCTCAAGTGCAATCCTCGAATATACCACTTGTACGAACTGTTCCAGGTCCCCCACCATTGTATGTCACTGTACCATATGGTTGGAAACGGATACTTAACAATGGAGTTGTTATTTATATCAGGTATAATTTGTTTTAATATTTACTTTTTTCACTTTTTTCTTTTGGTTTATTTTCTATTACTCATCTATTTATATTGTCTGGTTTTTGAGACAGGAGAAACAATTGCACCAGAATGCCGTTGAAACCTTTATGATATATGCGACACAGAATATACAACAATACAGTAAGCTACACTTCACTTGTCGCTACAAAATTAAATGTCAGTAGACCTTTTTAAAAGAATAAAACTCGAAAGAGTCGTTGTCACTAACTCGGAGAACCTCGGAATAAACCAACAAAACCTATTCCACTTTAAATGTTAAAGTACAGGTCCATATCCAATGATATGTGATTATTATTATGCTCCTTATGTTAGTATGAACAATTGAACATTATGAGATCATTTTGAAATAAACTGATGCAAACTATACAACACATACAAACCAGTAGTAGGTATACTTCATCCATGTATATTATAATAATAAGCGAGATAACAAGCTTACTGTCTACTGTGTCCTCGACTGTGTCTCTTACACATAAGATATGAGCAACAAAATTTTGATTCAGAAATCATGGAAGTTTAAGGTCCCTTCTAATATTAGTTTAAAGTAGGTAAGTATTAGATCTACTTACTTGGGCAGTAAAACTAATCTAATTACACATGACTAATATCTCTCTCTTTCAGAACCAGCCGAGGTACCAAGTTTCAATCAAAATTTTGTTGCTCACTCTTTACAAGTTGTTAGAGGAGGATGGCAGTTTATCTGAAGTGAAATGTTAAATTTGTCCGATAGGTATTCTCGCACGATTAGGGAGTTGTGCGCGGGTGCACCATCCTGTTGAAACCAACAGTTTCTTACTTTTGTTTTTTTGTGTGTGCCATACATCGTATTCGTAATAAAAAATGCTACTCAATACAGTATGTACTTTTTTACGGGACATATAAAAAATAAAATTGATGATAATTGCAATTTAATATTTAAAAGAAAATAAATAAATAAATATACAAATTATAATAATTAAATCCTGGGAGCGGACGAACGAAGCGGCAGTCGGCGGAACAAACAAACGAGCGAAGGGACTCCAGCGCCATCAAGCGAACATCCTCGCGCCTGGTCTAGGTCGGCGGTAGCAGCGGTCTTGCGGATCGGTCTCGGAAGCCGCGGGTGTAACCTCAACCGAAAAAACGGCAGCTCCAGGAATCGGACGGGTTCAGAAGATGGTGGCGGTCACTTCCGAAAGACTAAAACAAAATTACGCCAAACTCCCTAGCGGGAATGAAAGCAACAAAACACAAATCAGCGGAAAAACAAATGCGGAAAACTTCCAAAACAAAATTAAACGGTCTGAATGCAAAATAAAATTTACGGAAAATATCCAAACGGTACGGTTTTGCAAAAATGAATATACGACAAAGCTCACAATTTCGGTACTTAAAAACAGAGCTTGCGAAGAGGCAAAAGTAAAAAGATTTAAATACAGTACGGTTGCGAAAAAGAATTAACGGAAAAATGATAAAGATTAATACGGTACTTATAAATATAATTGGCCAAAATGCAAAAGCAAAAGATTCTAATTCATAGTGCGTTTTTTTTTATTTATTTAAACGTCTATTTCGAGTAGGTAGAAACTGGAATTCTCATTTCGCACGCTTATACCTTGGATACGTTAAAACAAATTAAACTTTTTATTTATTTACCTACTCCTTTCTCCGACATCGGAAAAATATGGGACCGATGCCAGACTTCAAGTTTTTTAAGCGCACACCTAACGGATGTACTCTCGATTTAATCGGCGGTTGTTATCTGTAACCCATTTAAATAATTACGGCTGATTATACTTATCCAAATAGTCGGAATGAAGTCCAGCAAAGTCCATTTGTTTCGTGGAATGTGAGGTCAAGCGGCGCAATCGTTTATCACCATGATATTTTCCCGATGGGGTAATACATGAGCAAAATGTTGTACGAAAGACTACCAGTTGCCAAAGACTACCACAGACTACCAGTAGTGACTACAAGAGACTACCTCATGAATACCACAGACTACCATATGAATACCAGAGACTACCAATGAATACCAGAGACTACCACATGAATACTACAGACCACCAATGAATACCAGAGACTACCACATGAATACCAGTGACTACTCCATACTACCACACAGGTGGCAGCGAGATAAGAAGGAATTGTACCTGGACTGCGACCGATGTTGGGCAAGATCCTTTAATTCTAGATTTAGATCCAGATCAAAGATCCGCACCTAGATCAAGATCGTCCTAAAATGATCTAGGTCCTTTATAGATGCTCCATAGGTAAATCTGATTTACATGGGTGGATTTGATTCATTATTCGGAAAATGCTTAGGTACTTATCTCATTCTGTGTAACCCCTTCAGGTTTTACTTTTATCTATGCAAAATTCGCAAAACAGCAAGAAAAATGATGCGAAAAAGTTCTTCTTTGAAAATTATAATAACCGCCTACATCTGAATTACTACTTAAGGCAAAGTGGTGTGCTTACCTACATAACAATAACGTATTTTTCGGATAATTCGGGTAGACCTGGCGGCGGCATGCCCATGAATCAGTTGTACAGGGTGAGTCAACGATTGCGCGGAGTAACTTAATGCCTTGAAGATAAGACTTTTCGATAGAGCCTTTTGTATTATATGTTTGAATATTCTCCACATTTTAAAAATATTTGGAATTATACAGGGTGCGCCCACAAAGTAGGGCGCCCAAATGGTACATTTTTTAAATAGAACCCCCTGTATTTGAATGCATTTTTGAATTCTACGTGTAATTGTACGTCTTTTTTATTATATGCGTAATATCCGAAAAACTAGTAGTTTTAAAGATAATTAGATTTGTAAGAAAAATTGGGCATTTGCAAGCGTCAGTATATTGTCAAAATTATTAATTAAATTTTGATTCCAGGTTTTATATCTTTTATCCTTGGTTAAGTAAAAGTCAAATAAATACATCTACTATGAAATATTAAAAAACTAGCTTACATGGTGTTTTTTGGTAGGTCCAACGTTACAAAACTTCATATTAAAAATCTCACTTTTTTTAAATGGAACACCCTGTATATTTTTGTCATCATTTCGCTCCTCCAAAAACCTTTAACTCTTGATAATAATGTCCTATACCTATCTCTGATAGTTTTCGAAATATCTTGGTTTTCCTGGGTTTTATATTCTAATCTTAAATAAGTTATATGTAATTTACATAATAGTGAGGTGGCCATGCAAAAAAAGGCAATTTTTTTCTGCCTCGTTCAAAGCTAAAATCATATTTATTAATTCATTTTTCTAATAATTCGTTTAAGTGTATAAAAACTAGAGAATAAATTTGATAGTAAAAACAAACAAATATCTTGGTTTTTCTACTTTTTATATTTTAATCTGAAATAAGTTCTAATTTATATAATAACGAGGTGAATATGAAAAAAAAATGAAACCAATATCACTGACTGGATGACATTAGGAGTTCAATTAAATTGGCTTTATAGTCAAATGTTTTTACTTATTTTCCAGTTTTTGGACATAAAATAGTTTGAAAATAGTATATTAAAGTACAAGTGTCATTTGACGAAGATTGTCGCACGAGGTAGTTTGCCGCATAAGCCGCGTAGCGGCGAATGCGGCAAAAGCCGAGTGCGACAAGTAGACAAATGACACGTGTGCTTTATACTATTTTTTTCTATTTCGACTTTTATTTTAAATAATAAATTATACAAATTATAAATATTGCCTTTAGGCGTTGTTAGGTAATTTTAAACTATCATTCAGTGTATGTTGGTAATAGACACAATTCATTTATTTTCACGTTGGCTAACCTGATTCCTGTATTTTCAAACTTCAAACTTTTAATTATTTGGTCATAATTCCATTTTGCGGCAGTTATGATAAATACGGATGACAAACACGTCTCTTGTACCCCACCAGAGATCCAAGAGATTGCCAATGAAGCGACGTTAAATTTACTGCCTGTAAAATCGAAAGTAAAGTACGAGGAGTACAAAATTTTTGAAAACTGGCTGGCCGAGAAGGGGAGTTCAAAAAGTAAGCAAGAATGTACTGCTGGCATATTTTACTACGCTAAGTAAAAATAAAAAAAGTTCTACCCTTTGGAGTATATATATTCAAAATTAATCGGAATTAATACAATCGGTCAAGTTCCTCGTACGTTATTTACACTTTACAGGTTATGTTTAGTTTTGATTTGACGGATACCGTTGACAGCAAAAAAGCGAGGGGTACCAATCCAACAAAATAAAAAAAAAAATGCGTTTCTATTTCTTTCGGCATTATTTCTGTCTAGAAACGCACGCAAACTGGGCCAATCAAGTAAGGTTTCGGTATTGTTTCCACATCGAAATAGAAAAATAAATTAATCGATATGATTTTCGTTTTGGACGAGATAGATAAAAATTGCCTTTTTTTTGCTTGTCCACCTCACTATTATGTAAATTACATATATAACGTATTTAAGATTAGGATATAAAACCCAGGAAAACCAAGATATTTCGAAAACTATCAAAGATAGGTATAGGGCATTATTATCAAAAATTGAAGGTTTTTGGAGGATCTAAATGATGACAGAAAAATATACAGGGCGTTCCAGTTAAAAAAGTGAGATTTTTTAATATGAAGTTTTGTAACTTTGGACCTACCAAGAAAAACACCCTGTAAGCTATATTTTTTATGTTTCATAGTAGATGTATTTATTTGACTTTTACTTAACCCGTGATAAAAGATATAAAACCTGGAATCAAAATTTAAGTAATAATTTTGACAATATACTAACGCTTGCAAATACCCAATTTTTCTTAAAAATCGAATTATCTTTAAAACTACTAGCTTTTCGGATATTAATCATCATATAATAAAAAAGACGTACAATTTCACGTAGAATTGAAAAATGCATTCAAATACAGGGGGTTCTATTCAAAAAAATGTACCATTTGGGCCCCCTACTTTGTGGGCGCATCCTATATAATTCCAAATATTTTT